AGAAGGGAGGATCGGGTAGAAGCATAAAATAATTGAAAAGGACATTTTGGAAGGGGCTTATTTGTTTTTCTTTCCATGTTCTGAAATCATCAAAGTGCATGTAGAAAAGATTGGAGGCCAAAAATTGTTGAATGGGAGGAGGTCAAGAAACTGTATAAATTGTCTAGGTCATGATGACGACACCAATGGTGACAGGGTTAGTGGTGGGGAGAGGAAGTGAGTGAGGAGAGGCCTGATGATAAAGAAGTCAGTGAGCAACAACAGGTAATATGCTAACGCCATGTGTGTGAAGAGCTGGGTATTAAAACAGAGGAGAGGAGAATGGTCTAGCAGTAGCAGGAAGAACCGAGGAGGAGAAAGAATGCACTAAAATTGGATATATTATATTTGATTATATCTCATAGTAAAATTATTGTTTTCATCTTTAAGGGTTCTTGAATAGCAAAAAGTAGGACCATGACAAGTGTAAGTTTGCTAAATAAAAGAACTCAGGGACATTTGTATGGGGGAAATTCTGTTTAGAGCTTAGAGTGAAAAGAGAATGGAGAGATGAGGAACCATTACCAGGAGCTCCTACCATTCCGGTGGAGGCCAATGCAAGAATGCAGGAAAATCCAGGTTGGGTAATTAAGGTTTATCTTACATGTGGGTAGGTTTGAGCCCACTGACTATTTGTGAGGATTCTCTAAAGCTCATTTCCTACATTGTTTCCTAAACAGGGATTTCTCTGTTGATTTCTTTTTAAAAAATAATTAACTAATTTTTTTAAATTGATTTCAGAGAGGAATGTTGAGGGAGAGAGTAATAGAAACATCAGTGATGAGAGAGAGTCATTGGTGGGCTGCCTCCTGCACACCCCAAACTAGGGATGGAGCCTTCAATCTGGGCATGTTCCCTGCCTGACTGGGAATCAAACCATGACCTCCTGGTTCGTAGGTTGACCCTCAACCACTGCGCCATGCCACCCGGGTTGTTAATTTCTTATCATTTCTGCACTTGTCATGCCCCAAACCAACTAATTTCTCTCAATGAGAGAGGAGGAGACAGCCCTTTCTATACTTAAGACACATGGTGCTGGATTGAGAAGGGGAAGCAGGAGGGTTTCTGCACAGGGAGGGGGTGACTCTGCAGCGCTGTGGCTAAGCTGCTGGCACAGAGGTACACAGCTGAGTCCCCGGGTTCTGTGGGCTGGATATTCAGAGTGGAGAATGATCCATTAAGCATCTTAGCTGAGAATCGTTCCTTGGGCATCCCACTGTCATCTACAGGAATTTGATTGTTGAAGTAAATGAGAAACTTTGGTCCTCGCTCCAAGGTCTGTCTGTACCAGTAGAGGTGGGTATGGCCTGAAATTGGTTCACAACTCAGAGTCACTGATTGCCCCATCTTTGTCACTTTATGCCTGGGTGTTTGGGTGACTCCAGCATCTGTGGGCTCTGTGGAAATGGACAGAATTTAGGAAATACCTGTGTGATGAGTTGTGAGCCCACAGACAATTTGTGAGCAACGTTGAAGCCTATTTCCTACATTGTTTCCTACGCAGGGTTTTCTAGGTGGATACGTTATTACTTCTGTTCTTGACATCCCCAAACACATGCATTCCTTTGATCATGGAGGAGCACAGAATATTTTTACTCTGAACACCTGGAGGCTATAGTGAGACGGGGAAGCAGGAAGGTTTCTACAGAGGGAGGGCATGACTCTGAAGCATTGTGGCCAAGCTGCTGGCATAGAGGTACAAGCCCGAGTCCCCGGGTTGTGTGGACTGGATTTTTAGAGTGAAGAATGATTCGTTGGGCATCTGAGCTGAGAATCAGTCATTGGGCATCCCTTTCCTGTCAAGAGAAGCTTGATTGCCAAAGTAAATCAGCATCTGAGGTCCCTGCAGCAAGGTTTGTCTGTACCAGTAAAGGTAGGTATTGCCTGAAATTGGCTCACAACTCAGAGTTACTCCTTGTCCCTTCTTTGTCACCATGCTCCTGGGTGTCTGGGTGACTACAGCATCTGAGAGCCCTGTGGAAGTGGACAGAGTTTGTGAACTGGATAAGGAACATAAATGGAATCAGAACTGGAAATATCCAAAAATGCAAATTCTTTATTTCTGAGGACTCTCCTACTTTCATGAGACAAAGGGCCATACAGCAGAGTAGCCAGATGGTCATGGCAGGGAGTTGCACTAGGAGGCTTCATCCAGATGATGCCTTATGAACATGAACAGAGGGGCAGGGGTTCTAGTTCCTCTGGTCTCCACAAGGTGGAGAGTGGCTTGGGGTGATATTGCTCTCTGTCACTGTTCATAGAACCTCCTCCTAAAGATGAACATTAATCTTCTACAGAAGATTGGATAGGGTAGATAATGACTATTTTGAGATGTGATTAAATTATTCAAAGTCTCCAAGATTTTCATCAGTTGTCACCTCTCAGACCCCAGTGCTTTCACCATTCTTTTTTTCTCTGTTTTATCATGTCTTCTGCCTGCTTGCCATTTCCACGTTGGTGTACCATGAGCACCACTAGTTCTATATGTCAATAGAGTTCTTCTAAATCTCAAGTCTTTCACACTCTTCCAAGGCAATTCATATATCCCAGACACAAAAAATCAAAATAACTCCTTGCTGAGTTTGGGCTTTGCCCCGATCCCTAATGGAATGAATTTGACTTGGCCACCATGCTCATTATAAAGGGTGGTAAATAGATGCCCTGGGAAGAGACAATTGGATTTAACCAGGGTTGTCATTATGGTCTTAAATCTTGACCCTAATTTAGACGATGTGAGAATTAAGAACATTAAATTTTACAAGCTGTTGACTACTTGGATTGAAGGTCAGGGCTATAAGCATCGTAGCAGGATGGTATTGAGTTAGTGAGGTGGAAAGAAAGGAGGAACCCAGAGGAGGAGGGAATGGTTGAAATAGAGATTTTGGAAGGAGCTTATTTGTTATTCAGTTCCTGCTCTGGAATCATCTAAGTTCACCGGAGAAGGATTGGAGGAAAAAAAAAATCATCAAAATTGAGGAGTTCAAGAAACTGAGAAGCCAAACATATGTATACATTGTCTGTGTGAGGATAATGTCACTAACGATTATTAGAAGGTTAGAAGGGAGAATAAGTGACTGAGGAGCGATCTGATAGTAAAGAAGTGATTGAGCAACAATGGGCAATACCATGTGTGTATAACTCCTTGCTGAGTTTGGGCTTTGCCCCGATCCCTCATGGAATGAGTTTCACTTGGCCACCATGCTCATTATGAAGGGAGGTAAATAGATGCCCTGGAAAGAGGGAGTTGGATTTAACCAGGGTTATCATTATGGTCTTAAATCTTGACCCTAATTTAGACGATGTGAGAATTAAGAACATGAAATTTTACAAGCTGTTGACTACTTGGATTGAAGGTCAGGGCTATAAGCATCGTAGCAGGATGGTATTGAGTTAGTGAGGTGGAAAGAAAGAAGGAACCCAGAGGAGGAGGGAATGATTGAAATAGAGATTTTGGAAGGAGCTTATTTGTTATTCAGTTCCTGCTCTGGAATCATCTAAGTTCACCGGAGAAGGATTGGAGGCAAAAAAAAAATCATCAAAATTGAGGAGTTCAAGAAACTGAGAAGCCAAACATATGTATACATTGTCTGTGTGAGGATAATGTCACTAACGATGGCAGGATTATTAGAAGGGAGAATAAGTGACTGAGGAGCGATCTGATAGTAAAGAAGTGATTGAGCAACAATGGGCAATATTCTAATGCCATGTGTGTGAAGAGCTAGGTATTAAAAAGTGGAGAGGACAATGTTCTGGAAGCAGCAGGGAGGACCCAGAAAGACAAAGAATGAATTGAAATCAAACATAGATAGAAGCAGATTACATCTTTCGGCGTAACCACAGTAGAAATTTTATTCTTCACTATTTCCATCTTGAAAGCCTGGGCCTCTGAATAGCAAAACGTAGGACAGTGACAGTGGAATTGGCTGTATGACAGAGCTCAGGTAAACCTCATTGCCTTAGGCACTCAAAACAAGGCATCTTTTACACCAGTTGCCAATGATGCCCTAGTAGGGGCTGGGAAGTGATGTGAAGTAAGACCATGAAATAGAGTAATTAGAAGCATTCAGATTAGATTGAAGGTGTTATGGGGAAATTTCTGGCATAAATCAGAATAAAATACACATGTGCATGATAAAGACATGGTCAGGTAGGTAAGAGGGCGAACAAAAGACTGGACAAGTCTGCCTGGGTTTAGATATCCCGATGTGGAGTCCATGTTTATTGTTTTGTATCTGGCAGCTGATGAGACCTCAGCAGGACAGAGACTAATAAATTCCAGGATCCTGGGAGTGTTAGTTTCCATAGAATGTATTAAAGCATGTGCTTTATCCACATTTGAGATAGTCTGGATGAAATAAAAGAGCCCCTGTAAATGGGAAGATGATGTGAACATTATAAAGGAATGTCTGCAATTGTCATAAAGAGGTCTGGTACAATCAAAGCTCGTGTGTGTGTGTGTGTGTGTGTGTGTATGTGTACAAAGTGGGGTGAATTCTGTTAACAGCTTAGAGTGAGAAGAGAATGAAGGGCTTAGGACAGTGATGGCGAACCTATGACACGCGAACTCATTTTTTGGTTGATTTTTCTTTGTTAAATGGCATTTAAATATATAAAATAAATATAAAAATATAAGTCTTTGTTTTACTATGGTTGCAAATATCAAAAAATTTCTATATGTGACACGGCACCAGAGTTAAGTTAGGGTTTTTCAAAATGCTGACACGCCGAGCTCAAAAGGTTCGCCATCACTGGCTTAGGACCTCCTTTACTGGGGAGGCCAATGCAGGAGGCAGAAATATCCATAGCAAGAGTAATTAAGATTCATCTTATAGGTGTGGTGTGTTTTGAGTCCACAGACAATTTGTGAGAAATCCCTGAAGCCTACTTCCTACATTTTTTTCCTGCTCAAGGTTTTCTTTTGATACCTTATTATTTCTGTTCTTGTCATGCTCCAAACCAACTCATTTCTCCTGGTGAGTGAGGCCAGAGAAGATCTTTATTTGACAGGACAGCTGATGTGAGAAGGGGAAGCAGGAGGGTTTCTGCACAGGGAGGGGGTGACTCTGCAGCGCTGTGGCTAACCTGCTGGCACAGAAGTACATGGCTGAGTCCCCAGGTTCTGTGGGCTGGATCTCCAGAGTGGAGAATGATCCATCGGGCATCTTAGCTGAGAATCGTTCCTTGGGCATCCCACTGTTATCGACAGGCATTTGACTGCTGAAGTAAATGAGAAACTTTGGTCCCTGCTCCAAGGTCTGTCTGTACCAGTAAAGGTAGGTATGGCCTGAAATTGGCTCACAATTCAGAGTCACCGTTTGTCCCATCTTTGTCACTTTATGCCTGGGTGTTTGGGTGACTCCAGCATCTGTGGGCTCTGTGAAAATGGACAGAAGTTTGAAACAGGTTAA